TTTTCTCTTCTCCAGGACATTCACCAACAGTTCTCCCTGCTCATCTCTACATCATCTATATTTTACCTCTTCATTAGCATTAAAAACCTGGTATTTTTTCCCTCATCTTAAAAAAAAAAAAAAAAAAAAAGTCTTTCATGTACTCATCAATGCTCCAGCCATGCTGGCCTTTCTGAAGGTACTTCACTTGCAATTCTTGGTTCCCTCAACTTCATTCCAGTTTCTGATCAAATGTTACCTCTTTAGAGATGCCAGAAGCATATGCCACTCCTCCCTCCAAAAAAAAAGTCATTCCTTTCCCCTTTTCCTCATTGGCATGTTCAGTACTTGAAATTACATGCTTAGGTGCTATTTCCTCTACTAAAATGTAGCTTCTTAAAAACAGGAGTCTTTTTCTTCTCTATATAAAGCCCCTACCTTAGCACCAGGCATATTGCAGTCACTTGATAAACTGGTTAAATTCCAGAAAAAGCTATTTAAAAGGGAAAGAGGTTCAAAGGTACATTTCTCTTTTTTAATAAATGTAAAATATTTTCACGCTGAGTGGGATAATCCTGTAGAAAAGAATTTCATGCAGGAGTGAGGAAACAATGAAAAATAGGATTATGTAGATATATATTTAAAGGCATATTGGCTGAGTTTAAAAAATGGAACGAATGAGAGGATCTGGGAATGTACCTCCATTAGTCCTATGCAACTCTCTCCTTGGAGTCCTTCTCTGCACATAATATAGGAATGCCTCATGCCTGAGAAGACGCCACACCCACGCTCTGTGGTATACTCAATTCTATGATACATAAAGGCTCTGCAATAAAAAGTCGTCTTCTTCCTTTTTTTTGTTTTGTTTTTTTTTCATAGTTAAAACATTAAAGCCCAGGGAGATTTAAAAAAGAATAGCTTGTGCCTTTTTTCCAAAGTACTGTAAACTAAGAACGACATTTTCCATTAATGCCTCTTTCTCTTTCAGGAACTATGTGAAAAACAACATTTGCTTTATGAGTCATCACCAAGAGGAATTGGCGCCAAAACAACTCCAAAAAAGAAAACATCAAGAGCAGCTCTTGGAGTGTAAAAGCTTTGTGGTGGGGGACAACCAAGGTAGTTTGGTCTAGAGACCTACTGGCCTCAAAACCTTATAAACGTTGATGCAGTCTAAGAACATTTAGTAGAGTCTTCATACCAATACGTGTTGACCAATGCTATGTTTTGTCTTTCGTGTCACGAAGTTAATTTATAAAAACAGCCTTTAATCTCCACCCACAATAGGTAAATGAGATAGAAGCCTCAAGGCTCTTTGTTACTCTGAGCAGGATACCAGGTAAAAAAATGCTGTCTGGTTCCTCACGTTGCACCTTCTCAGAGAATAGCTTTGACAGACTGAACTAGGGATGCGTTCACCTTGGCCTTCAGGTGTGTATGCATAGAGGCCAATTGCGGTTTTATCATTCAGATACATAAGTTGTCTAAACACAAGCTTGTGGTTTTTTGCCTACGAAGACACTACTTGCACTGGGTCTTGTGTAAAAAAGAATCAGAACACAGTGTGGACAATTGCACATATGGTCTACATTAGGAGAGGGTGCTGGCTAGGATTTTAGTGATAAATCCTAATTACAGTTTAACAGCTTACAACATTTTGCATCTTAATTTATGAATTGTGAACTACAGTGTAATGCAAAGTACCTTACTCTTGTGAATTTCATATTAGCATTATAAAACAATGTGAAAAACAATTCTTCAATAGCTGAGAAAAATAAGCATGTTCTCATTCATTAAAAAGATGAATAGAAAGGACAATATGAAATCCTGGGACCATATTTATTTAGAAGTAGCTATTAGTAAAACATTAGGAGTCAGGCCATTAGATTATTTATCCCAATCTCTAAGCAATTACATTGGACTTCTCAAGCCAAGCTTATAAAATTTTCTTTGTAAGGCATTCATGGTAACTTAATAGCAATCCGGTTTCCTGTAATTATTTGTGTTTCTCAGGATTATCACTACCTCAGGTTATGGCATACAGGCTATAACCAATGCTGACTTTCAGATGACTAGTCATTCAGACATCAGGACAATTCCCTATGTTCTGCTCTATGCTAAAACAGAGATCACCAACTGTCTCATAAGCTTGGGTTTTCATCCACAAAATGAGTTGCCCTCTTGTGTATTTCTCCAGTTGACTTTTAAAACTTGGTGAAGCATTTTATCAATAGAATTTAGATATGATAGAAAACCTACAGTAAAGAGTCTCAAACCACTAAGTAATAATCCATTACATTACTAATATTGTAAGTTGTGGAAGACACTAAAAAAACATAATGAGCAACCTAACTTGAAAATTAATACAAAAAATATGATTAATCTGAAGAAAAGAGAATCCTGAGTCAAAAACAAGGACCCTTTTTATTTTCCTCTTGGCACATAACAAACTGTCCCAAGTTTGATATAAGGGCATATGACACTGCATTTCCTTGTAACAAAATGGAAGACTGTTTTAAGAAATAAAAAAACTAGCCTGGCTGGCATTGCTCAAAGGTTGAGCATCAACTTATGAACCAGGAGGTCACGGTTCGATTTCCAATGTGGGGTTTGCAGGAGGCAGCCAATCAATGATTCTTTCTCATCATTGTTGTTTCTCCCTCCCTCCCACTTCCTTCTTATCTAAAATCAGTAAATTTTTTTTTAAGTATTAAAAACAGAGTAAAACTATACTATATTATCAGAGACTCAGGAGAATGTTTAACAATCCTGGTTCTGAAATGTACTCTCTTGATTAAAACTGGCAGGGAAAGTTATAAGGAAAGATTTGATAAATGACCTTCAGACTTCAGGACAATTCCCTACACAGACACTACTTGTATTGGGTCTTGTGTAACATTTCATATGCAAGTTACAGCACGCATTGGTGTGGTTTTTTCCACCCTTTATTTGTTTTGAAGAGAAAGTGTTCTGTAGAGGATCAATTTAAGAAATTTATTATGAATCTTCAGTGGAATTATATTGAGATTTAAAAAAAAAATCAAGATAGGTAATCAGTATAAATTTTTGTGCTTTGCCAAGCATTCAAGAATATATTTAACAAAACTGTTACGTTTACTTTGAAATTCAAATGCTATACATACTTTAGTTATCTTGGGTTTAGCCATTCTTTGTTAAGGGGCAGGAAATTATCAACCTATTTATTATGTTCATTATTAGTGATTTCAACTTCAGTTCTTAAAATGCTTTGTAATATTTTTCTTTTATATTGAGTCTATAACTAAACAACTCTATCTTCAATCTAATTTTTACCTAATACACCGCCAATCAGAGCTTTTGATTTTCAAAAATAAAAGGGGAAATACTTCAAATGTGTATGTATATAGTCACAGGTTTTATTTATGAAAACATTCACAGCACTTGTGAAAAGCCAGCCAAAGACACAAACTGTATCCTTTCTCACCGGCTTTGCTAAATTCTGCAGGTCATCTCCGCCAGCCAGCCAGGGGCTGCTCCTGCAGTCTGAAACCAGACCTGGCCGGACTGTCGTTCCTCTTCTTTTCCCAGAAAGCATTTTGATGAGGTGCTTACTGATCTTCTCGTTATTAAGTCACTCGAATACTAAAAATGGCATGACATCTGGTTACGTAACCTGGCCATATAATCATGTTTTTCCCCTTTCCATATTCCTTTTTTTGGGAACACAGCAAACCAAAGTCACTTATTAATTACTGTTAATTAAAAATAAGTGGAATATCTCCAATTTTAAAAGTCTTCACAGAACCTGTAATTTTTTTATTTTCTATTTTATGAGGTTATCTATCCTACTGGAATTTCAAATGAAGCAAATAAACACAAATGTAAAAGAAAGGACAAGAGAAGAATAAAAATCACAATTAAATTTTTCACAAGAAAGAAAATACAAAAGTTAGCCTTTGCCCCTGCTTATAAGGGAATGAGAGGCAGGGTAGGGAAAAGTATAGAAAAGAAGATAAAAACAGAATGATATGTATTGTTCAGTGCAGTGCTTAAACTAAGTTTTCAAGGTTTTATAATACGATAAGGAAAATGTACTAAAATATAGAAGTTAAGATGTTGCAATTTTTCACAAAGGTTTCAAACATTTTTGAAATTCAGGTTTTAGAGGAAGTCTGTGCTGGAATACTGTCTCATGGAGAAGCTGATTTGATTCTGGATTAGGTCTTATTTCTAGGTAAAATCACTGTTTATACTAAACTCCTAAACACTCAGGGCAGAGCACAACGGCAGCCTGATCCTGCATTACAATTCCCGGGCTGGTGGCCGAGCCAGACAGCCAGTTTCACAAAGGCATATTTATTACTTTAAGAGAAGCCATCCCATATGCTTAGCTACTCTTTAGCTCCTTTACATAAGACACAGCAAGGGAAAGACAGATCTTGCAAAAAAGGCTTTCAAGTTCAAGTTGAACTAGATTATGGCGATACTATGGCCCAGAGGCAACTAGTGGAACTTCTTATTAAAACAGTACAATATATCACGTGACAAAACAGTATGGCCTTGAGTACCAACCTAAGATTATTACTTTCCTATAACTAGAGTTGAGTCTTTCCAGGATATAAAGGTACACATATGAGGTACAACCCATCATAGCTTCTTTCTTATATTCATCTTGTAAGTAAGACATTTCTCTTTTTAAAACTACAGTTTTGTTACTTTTAAAAGATATTTAACATTTTCTATCATATTAAATTAGCAACATAAAACATTACACTTAATCTATAAAGTTCTATTCTGGTTCCCTGGAATTTATATACATGTTTTTATTTCTAATCTGGAAAAACAAAATCCTATTTGATATTTGGTAACAGAGAATTAAAAGATACTTTACATATATATTTACAAAACATACTTCCAAAAAAAAGCCAACACACTTTAGCAAAAGTCTAAGCTTGCATAGATTAAAAAAAAAAAAAATTACGAATTACTATTTTTATTCATAGAAAATGGGGAATAAAAGTTATAGAATGGATATGAAGAGAGACCTTTTCCAAACTTTTATTTGTGCATATTCAATTGAAAAAGATAACTTTTACAGGTTCTTTGGTGCCCATATTCAGCATACAAAAATGTAAAAGACTATTCACAAATAAAACACATTAGCTCAAACTGGAAAAAAAAACAACAAAACAATTTAAGGTAGTGCACACTGTGACAGCTCTGCTTATGGGACATGAGAATTACTGCGAAAATAAATAGAAATGTCCTTCTGTAAAAGCAGCAATGTCATGTCTTGTAAACTTCCTTTTTATATTACAGCAAAGTTTGAAATAAAATCCAAAGGGACTGGAGCTTTTTACATTGTAGCCGTGAATGAATAAAAGAGTCTATTTTCTCAATTATTGTTGGTCCAGTTTCCTTTTGTTTTGAGTCCAATGTGCAGCAGGTTTTAAAAGGTGCTCAGTTAGGGATTCTAACCAATTAAGTGATGAATTATAAAATCTCTTTCCTGCTTTCAAACACGAATGGGTAAATCTGTTCCACGGCAGTAGCGACAGCCTTTACATTGGGCCCTGAAACAAACACAATGGAGGAAGGGGTGAGAAGAGGCACAGAGAACAATAGGAAAAGCTCAGTTCTCACAATTAAAAATACCCGAGTAGCCTGGGGGTCAATGTTTTAAATAACCTACAAACATAACTCTGCACATAATCATAATATAAACGAAGAGAATAAAAATGTTCCCTGGACAAGAAAGGAAATCTGAAACAGCGATGTTACTTATCTTGTTTTAGGGCACCGGTGTGAAAGGAGCGCTCATAAAAAACCTCCAGACTCTCGCAGAGGAGAACAGGAAGTGCTCTGATAGGATGATTAGAGGGAGAAAGGGCAAACGGGCCCGGAAAACCATTATCCTTTTGGAGCCTGCAGTCTGGCTCTCTGTTGGGCTACTGAAGCTCGAGGAGTCCGAAGCCCAGCAGAGTAAAACAAAGCTGCTGCCCAAGTGCTGGGACTCGGAGGCTGTTCTAAGCCACCTGGTCTGAAACGCCCACAGCTTACTCAGGCAATAGAACACAAAGAAAGCACAAGGGAATGAGGTGATGCTGGGAAGAACTTTTAAAAATGTAATCGTCCATTTAAATAGCTCAAAAAAAAAAACATGAAAGTGAATAAAAAATATTTTATAACATTTTGAATAAAAATGGCTTCATAACTATACTTATCACCTCTGAAGGATCCTAAAAAACATACATATGGACCTGCTGTAGATTCTGCAATCTAAACACATCTTACATTGCTCCACTCCTTCTTGACTCAGTTTACCCCTACACATAGTATAGGGCTTTCCCCATGGGAACCACTGAGTATGAGTTCACTGAATTTATAGGATTTCATAAATATTATAGATGTAAATAGATAATGCATCCTAATTAACCAGGTCAGTTGTCTTCGGTTTGTTACTGTGTTGTTTAAATATCTATTAACTCAATAAAAGATAGACTTTACATATGCATCATTTTATTTTAGACTTAGCAGAGACTTATCTGTAGACTTTGGGGCCCCTCAGAAGACTGGGTTCTGGAAGTACAGAAATGACAACTGAAAGAATGGAACAAACAGACGTGTTCCTCACCACTCCACTTTTAATGCAGGCACAGCCTTGGCAATAAGCTTGAAAAGTTTCAGAAGTAGGTGTAAAAACCCATGGGATGAGTTAAAACTAAAACTTACTTATTGAGTGTTTAAAGGTGTTAATCATTTTTATTTTCCTTTAGGGATTGAGGGAATAAAAAGAAAAACTCAAGGACACTAAAGAAATTTCCTTAACACAAATGTGCCAAAAATTGGGTCTGATTCCCAAGTAATGTCTCTGTATAATTTATAAGCACAGCACCTTTACAAATCATCTGCAGAGTTCAAGATACGCTCTGACACCCAGGCCTAGTGTTTAGAAACCACCTCTTCCCAATAGTTGACTCAAAAGATATATAACAAATAAATCTCTGCTTATGTAAAATCTTTATGAAGTTCATAAAATTGGATTCTCTTACATATTTTAAATGGAAGATATAAGTTTAAAAGTAATATTATGAAAAAATATACTAGAATATTCTTAATAGCTAGAAACTGGAAACTATCCAAATTCTGTGGACTGTATATGTATACACTGGACACTGCACAGCAATGAGAATGAATGATCTATAACTACACGGAGGATGAATCCTACTGGGATAACAACGAGTGAAAGAAGACAGAAGCAAAGTACTTTGTTATGGTATTAAAACAGTACATGAAAGCAGGTAAAACTAACCTATCATGTTGAAGTCAAGAGACTGATTCCCCTTAAAGGGCAAAAGTGACTAAAGGACAAATTAGACATTCTTTCTATTTTGGTATGGGTATCTCTTATTTCATTCAATACAGAATTGACAAGTTTGGTTTCAATGTCATAAAATACCTGTTACTGTGATACTTCCTGTTGAAAAAATCTGTAATGTAGCTCGTAGAGATTTTATCCGATAGCACACAGCAGGATGAAGTTCAGGTTCATAACTACACACACACACACACAAAAAGCCACAAGATAAGTGTTTATAGCCTGACAAGTAATTTCAAATTTGGTAAGTTACTTTGATTTCTCAAAGACCTACCTGGCATGAGGTCTATTGTTCTTTGTGAATTCTGGCAAACGGATTTCAAATGGCATGTTACACACTGCTAAAACATTAACAACCTTAAAATCTGTAAATATTACCTTTAGGAAAGAAATAAAATTCAGTGAATTATTTTGAAACAAAATATCTTTTCATCAGAGAAATCCTTAACAATTAAGTTTCAATCTTTAAAAATAAATAAAACAAATATCTTAAGCACAGACCCAGTATTTTAAGTTATCAGTGATTCATTAAATGCTGTAATTAAAGAAAACCAACTCAAAAACTTTATTAAGAAAATAAAACCTGAGATATTTGCATGATTGACTTTCATGTTTAGTTTAATACTTTTTTATATTTGAAATGGGATACTCAGTCTACTGGGATAGGAGAGCAAATAGAAGAAAAGAATGAAAACACAGTCCTCTTCTCAAGAGTTTAAATGAAAAAGTTGCTACTTTAAAATTCAACGAATAGTTGAGTATACTAGTACACTAAACTGCAAAGATCAGACTTTTTCTTATATGCAGTGAGGTAAAATGATCTTTCTGTATGCTTAGATGTTTGTTTTCTTTAGGGGGACAGAGTGAGGGATAAAGGGATAAAACTGTGCTTTTAATTTACTGGAATGTCTCTCAACATTTCTAATTTTATGCTAAGATAGGAAACTCTAAGGCTAAAATTAATGTCTTTTAAAATTAATAACTTCAGCAACTCCCTGACTGGTTTTATCTTATCTTTTCAAATGTTCCTAGTAAAACCACAATTCTGGATAAATAACCATCCTCCAACTCAGTACCTGCACCAGACAGCTGCAGAAAGCCATAAAATTGTGCCAAGAGGCCCCAGCATTTTTTGTCTCTAAACCACCTGTCTTCAACCACCAGAACTCCCACAGGCACTAGCTCCTCAGTGCTTTCCTCTCACCTTCTACCTCAGAGGATATTGAAGACATCAGAGGAAAACTCAACTTCCCATCACTTCCCATCCAAATTCAAAAGAGCCTAGGCTCATCTCTTTAGGGACTCGTCTTTATCTTTCATTTACTCATTATCTGCAAGTGACTTAGCAAGTGCATAATGTTTTAATTTTATTCAAATTTATGCCTTTACAAAATTATATTGGATGAGGTTACCCGGCCAGTGATGGTCACTGTATAAGTGTGAGAGTCTGCTGACCAGTGTGTACATGTCAATAGGGTCCTACAGCTCTCAGAACACTGTGATACACACACACACACACACACACACACACACACACACACACACACCACTCTTGGGATGATCAGAAATATGTGTGTGAGTGTTTTTTTAGGGGGAGGGAGAAGAAGGGCATATTAAAGGGCATATTGAGTTAAAAAGGTAGTTAAGAAGTGGTGGACAGAGACCAGTGGATTCTGTGACTGTGGAGGGCGAGCATTTGTAGCATTTTATCTTATTTACACATGGGGGGCTGAGGAGTTTGAGAAACCCAGGAGGAAGAATCCAGCCACCTATGAAAATGACAAATGAGCAACTCGTATGGAGGATGGTTCCCTATCTCTGAAAGGGATAGATGGTTCCCTATCTCCTCAGGGAGAGAAGTCTACATTATATAGTGTCTTTAAAAATATATATATATTTTATTGATTTTTTTTTACAGAGAGGAAGGGAGAGTTGGAGAGATAGAGAGTTAGAAACATCAAGGAGAGAGAATCATCTGTCAGCTGCCTCCTACACACCCCCTACCGGGGATGTGCCCGCAACCAAGGTACATGCCCTTGACCAGAATCGAACCTGGGACCCCTCAGTCCGCAGGCCAACGCTCTATCCACTGAGCCAAATCGGTCTTGGCTATATAGTGTCTTGAAGACACAATAAATTTCTTATGGGCAGAAAAGAAAAGAAAAGAAAAGAAAAGAAAAAGGTATTAACTTATAAGAAAACAAGCCGGTGTCTCTCTATAAGAAGAATCTGAAAAAAAAAAGCCAGAATCCTTTAAAAACATCCACGTGGATAAATTTTGCAACTTTTTATACTGAAGAACAGTATAAAAACCTTAGTAGTTTCTGTCGTGATTTCTTTAGTCTACTAAATTCAATGTTTTAACTTTTTAATAATAAATCCTTGAACATTTGCAGTTTGATACATTTTGAAAATGTTACCTGAAAACCTAGTTTCTGCAGACTGCGGGCTAGACGTCTGGCACCAAATTTAGCCTCTTCTTCACTATGGTTTTAGGGGGGAAAAAAAGACTGTTATATAGGAAATCAATTTTATACGGAGGAACTTGACAAACTGTACATATGATTTTGTTCCTAAGTCTACAAATGTTCCTTCCATGAGGGGTAAGTTAAAAAATTAAAAACCCAAGTAAAATTTACCTTGTTGCTCCAGTGCAAATAATTTTCCCTGAGGACCAAATTGTAGCTGTAATTCTAGGTTTTCTAAGTTTCATTAATACTTTCTGAAAAAAAAAGTACATAATAAGGATTAATTTTCATATACAGAGTGAATAAAAATAGGCGTATAGTTGTGAGTATGCAAAACAGTTATTATTAATAATTATCATTAATTATTGTATAATTTTTCATCCAAACAACTGTAAACATTTTTTGCCCCACCCTGTATGCTTCTGTTCTGTGTGGCTATTTTAATGTTTAAATACTATTCCAAGCTTACCCACGATCAAAATAACTGTTCCTATATCATCCACCCATTTTGAAATTAAGTACCATACTGAACAAAAGAATGTATTAATCCAAAAGGACACTTAATTAAAAAATACATGGACTGTATAAATCTCTCACTAATACTTAAAACTGATGAAGTACCAAGTATGTAAACATTTCTTCTCTCATTCCACTCCAGTCACATAACTACAATTTATAATTTGCATAGATCCTCAAATATAGGAAATTTTTTCACATGTCATGAGCTGTGCAGAAGCTGTTATTTTCAACTGGAATATTTTTCCTTCAAGTTTCTCACCAGATGCCACCTCCACAGAGAGTCTTTCCTGACTCTTCCACCAAAACACCCATTCCTTAATTGCTCTGCGAATTCTAACCCTGCTTTCTTCAGCTTCATGGTATCCATCACCACTTCACATTGTCTTACAGTTAAAAGGCCTATTACATATTCTAGTTCTATATGCAAATTTTGAATGCAAGAGAAAAGTTGGAGCTAGAGATATAATTTTAGATATGAAAGGCATTTAAAGCTATAGGTATGAATAAAATTATTTACAGAGTGAGTATAAATAGGTCAAGAATTAAGATCCAAGATAACATGTGAATTTAAGTTTTCACTGCAAATTTTCATTTATGAGAATATTTATCATATGCCCATTCTGTGTAAGAGATAAATGTTTACTGAATTATGTAGCACATAAATTAATCAGATATTTCTCCTTAAAACTCTTGTTACAGTCTGAGGTCTTCCTTTTCTGTTATATTCCATATTATCAAACTAGAAAGTTATTAAATCTGGGAAGACAAAAATTAACGAAGAAACAAAGTAAAATCTGAACTAAAATAATTATAAAATTTCCAACAGAAGTGGCTGGGAAATACTAGACTGAGTTTATTCTACGTTTGACTTTCACCACCAGCTTGTCCATCAATTCAGCCTTTTCAGTTACTATTCCTAGGAAAGATGAGTTCCCTGCCATATGGTATATCAAAAATTTCAAAGTAGCATTAGCAAACTTTTTAGCAAACATATTTATTCTTTTTTAAAAAAAATAAAGATGGCATTATTAAACTTGAAAATATTTAATTGCAGGTCATTGAAAATTTTAATTCATCTTCACTTAGTTTCTAGCACTAAAAACTAATAATATTTTTCCTAAGTATAATGGCATCTAATTTTTACAGCTTAAATAAAGCCTTCAGATACATTCTTAATTTTCATAAAAAATATATAATCTCATCATTCTTTGGTTTATAAAAGCCAAATGAACACCCATTGTCATGTATGTTAATCTCAAAACACTATAAGGTTAAAAAAGCAAGTTAACAGCTTTTATTTTCAATATTATAGGTTTTATAAAAACTACAATTAGAATGTACAGGGTAGGATATAAACCATATTTTCAGCAATTTGCTACTGAAAGAATACCAACTATCTTGGCTAATTAAAGAGGACTTTGACAACATGCTACAAAATTTACAATCTGACTTTCTCCATTCTAGGACACCATTCAAACATAATTATCTTTATATATAAAAGCCGAAGCGACTGGCCATTTGGCTGGTAGCTATGACACACACTGATCACCACGGGGGCAGACACTCAATGCAGGAGCAGAAACCACAGGCATGGAAACATGGGATAGACTAATGAATTTCAGAGGGAAGTGGGGAGGAAAGAAGGCAGAAAGAGATTAACCCAAGACCTTAAGTGCATACGGATTATTCGTGTACCATTGGGGTCCCTAAGCCTAGCCTGTATGGATTGGGCTGAAACCGGCTCTCTGACATCCCCTGAGGGGTCCCAGATTGTAAGAGGGCAAAGGCCAGGCTGAGGGACCTCACTGGTGCACAAATCATGCACTGGGCCTCCAGTACTTAAATAAATATACACATAAAGTATAAAAGTCGCCTTTTTCAGTCAAAAGAAATTGAGAGAACAGTATAAAATGTCTAGTAGCCAATGAGTTCTTTGGTAAGACTTGGAGATAAGTATCTCCAAAAGCTGCTACTTCATGGGAAAAGCGGCCACTTCTACAGGGCTCACTATTGTATCCAGCACAACTAGCACATGGTAAGGTACTCATAAACTATCTATAGCAGTGGTCGCCAATCTTTCGGACCTCACAGACTACCAGTGGTCCATGGACCATCAGCTGGTGTCGGATGCTCTACAGAATAAACACATTTTAGTATATCATTCCTAGTACTATGCAATTAGCATACATACCAAAACTCAGATACTTACTCCAACATCACGCTTATAAATTACATTTGCTCCCTCCAAAGCAATCTTCCTTAAGTTCAAATGGCATCTTGTTCTAAAAACACAGACTACATTTGTAATTAAAATGTCCAATGCAACATCACTGTCTGCATCCATTGGGGTAGTTTAAAAACTTAGCTTCCCACCACGAAGATCACATCCTGAGAAACAAAATAAAATAAAGTAATTAAACTTAATGTTTTCTGAATTTTTCACAAATAAGTTTGAAAATTAAAATGCAAAAAAAATCTATACTATTTATTTTTAAATGTTACTCAAATCAAATGTCCCTAATATTCCCCACTAAAAATGCCAATTTTAAAAGGTATCTTTAAAATCTAACTTTCATTTCTTAAATTTAATAAATAACTTTACATACCAGGAGGCTGCCAAACTTATCTCCTGCTACTTGCCTATACAACCACTATGTTCCAGGTGTATCACAGTCATGGCAATTCTCCAAACACACCAAGTTGAAGGGCTGCACTTTGTGGTTCCAATGTCTAATAATTAATGGCACTATAACCTTTCTCACATTTGCTAGGGCTATAAAAAGTCTAACCTATTTTTCACTTATTTCAAGTAAATGATTTAATTAAGTTTAAAGAAGCAGAAATATTATTAATAACATTTATAAACAAATGTTTCTTATTTACCAGTCATTCATTTATTTTCACCTACTGAACACCTAGATATTGAGGATACTGGAGAAAAAAACAGTGAATGAGGCCAAGCCTTTTGTCCTCAAGGAGTTCACAGATGAGTGTGCGTGCGTGCGTGCGTGTGTGTGCGCGCGAGTGCGTATGGTTTGTAGGAAGGCACTCTAACAAGTAGCACAATATCATTTTTATTGAGATCACAACTTCCAAAATACTTATCACTTTAAAACTACTGACAGGAGCATTGCCATAAACAAACAAAATGAGCCCTAGCTTGTACTATGCGAAAGACCCATATTCCAGCTAAAAAAAATTTCTTTGGATTTCCATATCTTATATAAATAAGTAATGATTACTCACCTAATTTACAAAGAGAAAATCAGAAAGCGGCAACAGACTTAAATTATGTGACTAAATCAATGAAGATGCCAAGTGTCCAAATAAAGAAAATTCAATACTGTTTTCCTGCCTTCCACTATACTAGAACCCAGCAACAAGCCAGACCAAGACTTTGGCACCTCCACACGATCAGACTGCATCCAATTCTGCATGTCAATTGTTCCTCAACTTCATTGTATTTTCTCACACTTATGTTCCCTACATTCTGCTTATTTTCTCACTTTTCTGTTCTTTGTGTGTGTTTAAGCAAACTCAAATGATTTTTATGTTTAAAGTGTGGGGTAGGGGTGGCAGTGACCCTTATTAATAGGTATATAGGTAGATTAATAAGCAGAGGACAGAGGCAGTTATCAATACTGATCTTAAGCAGCAGGCTCAATGTCTGAATAATCAATTACTAGCTATGAGAACGTGGGCAAGTTATGTGCCTTGGTTTTCTCAGATGTGACATGTAACAAGGATGGTGCCCATGAGATAGTATTGGGGGATTACATAAAATGTATGAAAAGTACTTAGCACATATATTTTGGAAATAATAACATAAAACCAAAAGTGATTATGGATAAAATTAGTTCAAATCAACTGGCAGAACAGAAGTTTCTTAGCATCACTTCCCATGATTACATTGTAACTGTGAGGTACAAGCTCCAAGCTGCTCATCCCATCATCCACTGCATCCTTCCTTCACAAGGGACAGAACCCAGCTGTGCAGCCACACACATTGTGGAAGAAATAAAATACTACACATTCCTGGCTCCCAGGTAACAGGTACAGCCAAAAGGTCACATAACTCTGTGACTCTGTCAATAAAATATAAAATGAAATAGTTTTGTGTCTTTTGGAAAGCGTGCTTAAAGGGACTGATCTAAGCTAGAAAGAAAACTCTTTGCCTTTCTGCCCGTCTTCATACTTGTGGCCTGGAATCTGGATGTGAGAGGGGGAGCTCAAGGGGTCATCTGAGATCATGAAGCTCTGGGTAATAAAATTCCTTATTTTCCTTGTACTTCTGAATTCCAGATGTCATGAATATGAGAGAAAATCTATTTCTATTAAGACCCTCATACTGGATTTCTGATGTATGCAGCCAAACCCAATCCTAATCGACACACATCCCATGAGAATAAGCTACAAAAAAAACATTATTTAAGGAGAAGCCGGGACCGGTTTGGCTCAATGGATAGAGTGTCGGCTTGGGGACTGAAGGGCCCCGGGTTTGATTCCAGTCAAGGGCATGTACCTTGGTTGCGGGCATATCCCCAGTAGGGGGTGTGCAAGAGGCAACTGATCAATGACTCTCTCTCATTGATGTTTCTAACTCTCTATCTCTCTCCCTTCCACTCTGTACAAAAATCAATAAAATATATTTTAAAAAAATAAAATAAAAGTAGCAGATACTGTGATTTAAAAAAAAAAAGGAGAAATTACATATAAATAAACTATGTCAAATTTACTGCTTCACACAGATTTTTTTTTTTTTTACATTAAACAGGCTAAAACAAATTCACTTAAGATGTACTTCTCTGAGTATTAAATTAGTAAACTGAGGAGAAAATTAAAGGACAATATGTAGGGTAAAAATAAGTCAAGATAGAAAGAGTAAAGCAAACCTTTGTGAATGCAAAGAAGTCTTGAACTTCAAAAAAGATGATTATTTTTATACTGCAGCAACTTAAATTCTAAAGATGAGGTCACACACATAGTTCATCCTAAGTATGTACTTAGATGTTTAAACAGTCAAAATGTTAAGAATTATTGTATTCATAGAGTTGGCATCTAAATGATTTTAAAACCTTTTTCTTCTCTTGTTTTGTAGTCTAGATTTATCTTTTTAAAAACAACAAATATTTATTAGATTTACTATAAAAAATAAAGTTAATTCCATTTTTATTTAAATATAGTTATCAGTTATTTTTCCAGTGCCCACTATCTAAAATGAAGACATGGCTTAATTGGGTGTTTTCTCCTGTTTCTGAAGTAAATACCTAGTATGAGTTCAAATATATCCTTCTAATAAGAAGAAAAGTTCAAAACTGCAGCTGTCCTAACTTCAGAAAATGTTATATTTCTAGCTTACATTAAATGCACTTTAGAGTTGAAGCAACTTTTTCTTCAATCTATGATTTTACAGACAATAATGCACTGTTCTTTAGGTCCTATGACTTTCTAGTGATATTGAAAAACATTCCTTCAGCACCTGAAACCTTAAGCAACACCTGGAAAACACTGCCACCTCCTGGCTTTTATGACAAATTGCACTTAAGACTAATACATTTTAAATTCCACACCAGCAAAGATACTTCTGAAAGGCCATAATAAACATCATGATAAAAACAAAACAAAAATTACTCTAAGATATAACTAAAAGCAAAACGAATAACCCTAAAGAAACTTAAGTATGTAATATACAAAAAAGTGATTCTAGCTACTTTAAGTGTATTCAAGTTGCCTATGAAGGTATTGAGAGAGGGGCCTAAAAGGTTTAACCACAAAATTGCTATCCATGATTTAAGAAATGGCAGAGGGAAGGCTGGCTACAGACTAATTTGCAAACACAACAAGAACACACTTGTTCCCCTAGGGATCATTCTTTTCTAAAAGTAAGACATGGCATTTAAAACCAACTCTTCTTTGTAAAGCTCCCAAAATAGCAGACTAGAAAACAGTTTGTATGGTGATTCCAATCAATTACTATACCTGACAGTATCCCAACACATGCCTGTGACCAAGATGGAAAAATGAAACATTTTGCCTTTGAGAAAAAGGGTGTTCTTTTGCACCTGTTTAACAGTACAGCATATATCTTACTTTTCTGGAAATTGGTAATAATATCACTGTACTCTCCCAGTGTGCTTCTAAGACTTCAATTTAATTACCTATGCCAAGCACATAGTGCACACACTCCGTTTATTAAATGGCAGCTATTACTGTTTGATAGATTCACATAGCTAAATGTTGTAACCAAATAGTATTTAATGAATTGGAACAAAATTTGAGAACAATCACATTACCAGACAGAAAAAAACTGAGGTCTTAATAGGTCAGATAGGAGTCAGCAAACTATAGCCAAAGGGCTAGGGCTTGTTCTATAAAAAAGGTTTTATTGAAACAACCAGGCTCGTGTTGTTACATAATGACTATGGCACCTTTGAGCAGTTCTTACTAAGTCCAAATGACCTACAAATCTAAAACAGTTACAATCTGGTCTTTTAAGAAGGTAAGGGTAAAAAAGGAGAGAGGAGGGGAGGGGAGAGGAGGAGAAGAGTGGGGGAGGGAGGTAAGGGTAGATAATTTACCAACAGGAAGGGTATAGAATGAGTCTTCTATTAGGTGGGAGATGAGACTAAATGGTTTCTAATATTCCATCTAATTCGAAAGTTCCCAATTATAACAGCTTAGATGGAGACACAGACAAAATTTAGAAATTATATACTAACTTTTAATTTTAATTCTGGAGCTATTATGTTAGTTTAGTTAAATCAATATCCCACTTACCTTCAACATGCATTTGTGTTCAAAGGGACAGTAAAGGAAGGAAGTTAGATGCACTAGGGCAGTAGTTGGCAAACTCATTAGTCAACGGAGCGGCAAACCGTGGCTCGCAAGCTGCATGTGACTCACGAGCCACAGTTTGCCGACAACTGTATTAAGGGGTGACAGCAGACAGTGAACAATATTGCAAAACCTTTCACTTGTTTGGCAGGATAACATTCTGTCATGAGGACATGTTTTCATGCATGACTCAAGAGCTTATACTTCAGAAACCAGTCCTTGGGGTTAGCATTTTTATTTTCTAACCACATGAAAAAAGTCAATAATAATATGCTTGGTCACAAAAATCCTTGTATTTACCAAGGAAAGGATGATATATTATACCAACATCTATATATATAAAAGGCTAATATGCCAAGTGTCCTCATGTGAGTTCGATCACTATGACATGCGCTGACCACCGCAGAAAGAAGAAAGGCCCTGGCTGGCAGCCAGAAGGCCCCAATCA